CCCACCCACGGCCCAACTCAGCCAGCCAGTTGAGTTGGGCCATACATCTCCACCTGAGGGGGCCCGTAGGGGACTGTGCCTGGGGGCCCCCACTTGAGGGGGCCCCTCACTCCCTAACTAAGCTTTGTGGGTGGATTTGTTTAGTCTTCTTTCTTGCAAGAAAATGCTGGCTGCACACTAGCACTGGCCAAGCATTTGACCTCCCTCTATCCGATAACGTACCACCCTGCAACTTTCTAGTAATGCCATGACTCCATAAAAGTTGTGGGGTCATCAGTAACCAGGAAGGGCCAGTAATCAGGCTGGCTACCTGCCTCCCTCCCACCATGCAGCCCTCTATCCATCCACATCATATCAAGGGATTACTCAAGGGACCATGAAAGCATATTGTGAATTGGTGTTTTATCCTATTGTGTTGCACTTGCTGGCAATGGCTGTACTGTAAAAAAACAAAACAAAACACAACACACCTATATTCACCAGTTGACTACCAACTGCATTATTGAGTTAAAAAAAGTGTCTATACCATTTTAGCTTTACTGAGATTTCTCAATAAAACTGATTTCAATTTACTGTGAAAACAATAAAAGATGAGGAACAAAAACAGTCTGATTTGTACTTGCTCCTGCTTGATTTCAGCGCATGGACCTGGAAGCGGGGGAGTGGTCTGCAGCCAGCCAGGGGTGGGAGTGAGTGCAGTAGCTTTGCAGGCTAGACACAAAGCTGGTCAGGGCACATATTTGAGATTGGTTGGCCTCCCCTCCAGGCCCCTCAATAATATGTCTGGGGATAGCCATCTGCTGCATAACACTTCTGGCCTCTCTATAGGGAGCAGAGTGCTTTTTGAAACCCTTGCCTTGGCTAATTAGCAGCTCCCCGCTTAGCTGAGACCCATCTGATGAGGACATGCCAATACCTAGCATAGAAGGAAGTATTACAAATTTCTTGAATTTGGATGAAAAGAAGTTCTCCCACAATGATGCTTCCTTTGAATACATTTGATTCTGCAGAGGCCTAGAGGTAGCTAAAGAGATTACCCTGGGCTGCCTTGGGAGTGTTGCTCCTCATTTCCCTCTCACCTTCTCCCTGTCCTTTGAGAAGGCTGAGAGGAGAGCTATGGCAAAGGAGGACAAAGCAATCCTGAACAAAATCTAATGAGCTCTCTCTAGGAGGTGAGCCAAACCAGGGGGGAGGAGGAAGTCTGCAAACCCAGCTCCAAAAAGGTGCTGTATACAGGATTTTGTAAAGAAAGCATTGAGGGGAGGGGGGGGGGGGGAAAAAAAAAATCATTTTTGCATTGCACCTCCCATAGAAAGTACAGCCTGGAAAGAAAAACTCAGAAAAAAAAAAAAAAGAACTTGTTTGGGAGCTGCAGCAGCAGGAATTAACCCCACCTCCCCTTGGCAACTATACATATGAAATGCATTATAATGCATTAAAGACTTGCTAAAGGCTAGAGGCCCTGGGAGGTCTATACATGGAAAGGTTTTGCAGATTGCCTGCTTATGACTGGGGGTGGGTCTTTTTTCTTAGAAGACAGGCTGGCTACACTGCAACCTAGCAGCATTCAACCTCCCTCCCTCCAGTAACCGTCCATGCTGCAACTCTTTCCAGTAATGCCATGACTCTACAACCCCGCCGCCCCAAACACAGCATCCCCACCACACTGAGGCAGGTGCGGTCTCCAAAAACCAACCCACCCACCCACCACAAAGAAAAGATGACACATATATAGAGCAAAAATAAAACTCTACTAAAAATGCTGAAGCTTTAACAATAATTATATAGAACTTTACAATATAAAATATATACAAAATGTAACAAAAAGTTAAAAATCTGAAGATATTTTCACTCTCCTCCTGTTCACTGTCTTCACTCTACTCTCCTCTTCACTGGGCTGTGGGCTGTTTGCCACCTCACAGAGTTCCGCCCCAAAAGTTTTCTGTGAGCAGGGGGAAAAAGGAAGAAGAGGAAAAGGAGAAGGGTATGGTTCACAGTCAAAAAACTGGACTTTTGTCCCTCCCCGCAAAATTGGTGGCACATATTACTTAAATATCACCTGGGACGCTGCATATCCTGGGCACTGGGTCTGGCAGGCAGTATCCTGCTGCCCCTGGACTTTTGGTCATGGTTCTGAAATGGAATGTGATAAAGTTCAGAAGGTTTGCAATACTGAAGGAAGTCATCTAACCACTCCAAAGCTTCAGACTACTTGCAAAATACTTACCATTATGGTGATGCTGCAGCTGTCATCAGGAACAATGTCCACAGTAGTGGCAGCACATGACAGAGGGGGTGGAGGGATCACAGGTCATATCCCCTACAGCTCCTGCCCTTACCTCCGAGATAATATCAGTAGCCTTGCAGCCACGCAATGCTGCTGATCTGGTTATAAAGGCAGCCAGGGATCCAAAATGGCTGCCATAATCAGGCACCTGCTGGCAGCTTGGCTCAGGCCCTTAAAGTAGCAGGCACCTACAGTGTCCCGCCACAGAGGGTACATGGGCAGGGGGGAGGACATACACTATAGGTGGCAGGGGGGTGGAAGAACTAAGAGGGGGTAGAAAATTAAGCAATTATTTGCCTCCCCCCATTTTAAAATAATAATTGGTCTGAGCAGACCCAACCCAACCCAACCTGAACTACGTGAGGGAGCAGGGAGGAGTGAAGGAGGGTAAAAAAAAGAACACACAGCAGCACCTACTGACTAAAGGCTGGAACACAGCACTCCCTCATGGCAAAGGGGTAACTAATTAGAAGTCTTTGGAGTCTTTGGCTGTTTGCACAAACAAATCAACAGTTGGAGCAGCGTAACTGGAGAGCACTGCAAATTAACACATCTCTGAGTGGTGTTGGTTTAAGGCACTAAATGGATTTTAGAATGGTGGGAAATCCCGGGTCATGCAAACACAAATGCAGCTGCATCGGCATAAACGGGAAATGTCATTTTGTCTACACACACACCCTATGTTCCCTGCCATCTATTGGCACGGTGCTGTAACAGTACCTGCAGCAAACAGATATCCTGAAACAGCAAGTCATCACTGTTACTGGTATAATTTAGAGCAACTATAAAACCAAGGAAAAAAAGCACAGCGGTGTAAAGGTGTCACGTGTCCAGGCCCTGAAAGAGTTTTGCCTGAAACAGCCCAAGTGGTGAAGACAATGGAGTGGCAAAACTGGACAGAAAGGAATCTGCCATTCCTCCCAACCTTCATCTCATAGTTTCATAGTTTCTAGGGTCAGAAGGGACCT